GCTTGGAGTGTTCCTTTAATTGTTTGCCTCTATTTTACAGATTGTGACCTCTTTAGTTCAGATAACTATAAAAAGATAAAACTCTGTTTTAGTTCATTATTATTATTTTATTATTATTTTATTATTTATATAGTGCCAGCAAAATTCTGTAGCGCTGTACAATGGGTGGACTAACAGACACGTAATTGTAACCAGACAAATGGACGCACAGGAACAGAGGGGTTGAGGGCCCTGCTCAATGAGCTTACATGGTAGAGGGAGTGGGGTATAATGACACAAAGGGTATAAGTAGGGGTAATGAAATAGGTTGCTAGAAATGTATTCACTGGGAACTTTGTAGGCTATTTTTGACAGTTGCAGGAGAGGAGTAATGGGGGGGGAGGGGTGGAATGAAAATCTGCTAACGGTTTAAATTATATTCTTTCCTGAAGAAGTGTGTTTTCAAAGATTTTTTTGAAAGAGAATAGGTGAAAGTCTAATGGAAAAGGGAAGGGAGTTCCACAGAAAAGGTGCAGCCATGGAGAAGTCTTGGAGGCGAATATCAGATGTGGGAGTAAAGACAGAGGATAGACGTAGGTCTTCAGCAGAGCGCAGGGGCCTCGACGGGACATGCTTGTATATTAGGGAGGATAGGTAGGACTTGGAGCAGAATTATGAAGGGACTTGTAAGCAAGCACCAGAATCTTAAATTGACTAATTTAAATTAACTGGAAAGTAATGTAGGGACTGATAGAGGTGGGAGGCGTGGGAGGTGTGGGCGGACAGGCAAATGAGCCTTGCTGCCGCGTTTATAATAGATTGCAGCGGTGCAATCTGGGAACACGTAAGACCACCATTTATTCTGGATATCAAAATGGAGGCTCACGGCTATATGTTACCTTCAAGAGTTTCTTGAGCTCCCCATCCTGCCTAAAAGTACAACAATTTCCACTATATTACATTATTGATATCAAAGTGCAGAATTGCCAGCTTTAGCAGGTTTAAGATTAGGAAGATTAGTTGGGACCGGCACCATGGTGTGGCATTCAATGAAATAGGCCAGAAAATGGAATAAAACATAAGGAATTGCCCAAACTGTATCAAAATATTCTCTTAGACGAATCCATGTGCCTGTGGTCCTCAATGCGTTTAATTTATGCTGAAGGCATGCCTCTAGGGTGAAATCGCAAGGAGAGGAGAGGGCGGTAGTGCCTAAGGAGACCCGGCGCTGCAGAAAAGGTAAGTAAACGTTTTTTGTTTTTATATTATACCACACATGGTGGGAGCCATAAAACTACATAGGAACAGGGATAGTATAGTCAATACAGATTTTTATTTCTAACGCTGTAGTGTCAATTTGATATTACTTTAAAAAACACATGTTACGTGCCAAGGTGATCACCCATGCAACACATGAACATGCAGGCAGGTGCCTAAGCTGCCTAATGTTTAAATGGTAAAAATCCCAATCACTGGATCAGTCAGAGTTTAAACAAGGATCATCCCTATTTTGGTAGCAATTAGTTAAACTCTAAACCACAGTAAAGCATTAATCTACCAGAGCCTGAACAAGTAGGGTATACACAAACCGCTAACACAAAAAATGAATAATATTAGGATAAGTGTGGGCATCAAACATGAAAACATGACTTACTTTCATGGAAATAACTAAATCTTTTTTTTTACTTAACTAATGTTTTTAAGGAAGGTTAAAGAGGAACTGTTACTTCTCTGGAAATTGCACTATTGAATAAAACTTTAAAAATCACAAAAATACTTATCCTATTAAAAATATTTTAAAGACTTAGCAAATGGTATCATAATCCAGTTCAGACATGGTGCACATTGCAAATGAGGAGGAGAAATAGGAACATTGTTTAATTTCTCCTCTGTATATTTTCTCTATGGCACGGGTAGACAACCTTTGGCACTCCAGACGTTACAGACTACATCTCCCCTAAAGCTTTGCCAGGATTATGTCTGTAAGAGCATTTTGGGAAATGTGTGTTGATGGTTGCCCATCCCTGCTCTATGCTGAGGAACAAGTGCAAAGGACAGAGTTTATAACAATGACTGACTGGAATCCAAGATGGAGGCATCCCTTTCCAGGATGAGGAGATGTGGATTTCTACATTTTATTTTATAGTCAAACCTCACAATTGCATTTTTAAACAAAGTAAACATAATATAAAAAACCTGAGAAAAGAGAGTTCCTCATTAAAATATTTTTTTACATCCAATGAGCTTCATGTGCTGCAGAGGATGGTTGTAACCTTAGCCTGCCAGAAACAAGTTTGCAATCAGGGCCAGACTCTTTATTGAACTATGTAAGAACATTCCTAATGTGCGCCAGAGTTAGGAACACATCCAATGTGATAACAATCCCTGCTTCATTAAAACACCCATGGTACTTGTTAGATTTAAATGTAGAGTAGCCCATTGAGGCTTCATGCCCCTCCTAACACATTTTTCAGAATTTGACATTTAGGACTTTACCCACAAGATATACATCAAACTAGCAAAGTTGGAGACTTTGTACCCAATTTTGGTAAAAACGTATCAATTTAGATATCAAAACTTACCATTCAATGAATGAGTCCATTACTTGGTTCTTGTCTATTAAATACCAGCCATCATGCTCTATTTTACCTTGAACAACATGGCAGTAGAGTTGAGCGAACCCTAACTGTAAAGTTCGGGTTCGTACCGAACATTATGTTTTTTGGACCCGAACACGGACATATCACTGTATGTTCAGGTTGGAGTTCAGTGTTTGGCGATTTAATGGTGCGTTTTCAAAGGCTACAGGGCTACAGGGCAGCCAATCAACAAGCGTTTGACTCGTGTGCCCTTAGAAGCCATCACAGCCATGCCAACTAATGGCATGGCTGTGATTGGCCAGTGCAGCATGTGACCCAGCCTCTATATATAAGATAGAGTCGCGTAGCGCCGCATGCACATGAGCTCTTATTAGTGTAGGGAGAGGATGCTGCAGCTGTGAGGGACAGCTTAGGAAAGAATTCTGCAAACTAGTACATTAGTGGGGTGTACTTCATATCTGAGAGTCAAATAGAAGCGTCAAATACTGCTGTCACATTGCAGTTTTAAAATTTAAAAATGTTTGGGTGCTAAACTGCTAAATAGTATTTTAGTGGGGTGCACTTCATTATCTGAGAGTCAACTAGAAGCGTCTAATAGTGTGCTTACAGCGCAGTGGTAAACATTCTAATTGTTTTGCTGCTAATCTGCTGTTTACATTGGAGTTTTAAAAAGTTTTTTTGTGCTAAATAGTATATTTGGGTTGTGCACTTCATATCTGAGAGTCAAATAGAAGCGTCAAATAGTGCGGTTACTGTAAACATTCTAATTGTTTTGCTGCTAATCTGCTAAATAGTAAATTTTTTGGCCTGCTTATCATATCTGAGAGTCAAATCGAAGCGTCTAATAGTGTATTTACATCGCAGTTGTAAAAATTCTAATTTTCTGGGGGCTAATCTGCTAAATAGTACATTTTGGAGCCTGCTCTTCATATCTGAGTCAAACTGAAGCGTCTAATAGTGCACTTACTGCGCAGTTGTAAACATTGTAATTGTTTTGTTGCTAATCTGCTGCTTACATTGGAGTTTTAAAAAGTCAATTTTTTTTTGGTGCTAAATAGTATATTTGGGGTGTTCACTTCATATCTGAGAGTCAAATCGAAGCGTAACTTTGATTCAAATTTACTACATCGGTCACTTGTAATATTGTTTCACAATATTTCACAAACAGATTGATATTTTCTACACTAGAAACTACCAGATAACAAGCTGCTATATTTAAACCAGTTATGTCATTTAATAAGGTGTGATAGCATGATGAAGCTTGGACAAGACGTGACCCACAAGTCCATTTTTATAGAACTGGTTTATCAAGGCTAATGTTATTCAAGAACATTAATTCTGCAACTAAAAGTGTTTAGTAGAAATACAAGACTGAAATAGGCTGCATAAACAATATTGTAATTCTGGGGCTATACCCTCACAAGTCAAAGTGAGAGGTCAGTTTATAGGGAAAACTGTTGCCTGGATAAAATTCTAAAAAAAATTCCATATGTCCTTTTCAGACTTTACATGCTGGAAAAAGACAGGTGCCAACTGCTGTGACTTTCTGCAGTGTGCATACTGGTAAGGAGGGCAGGGTTGAGGAGTGGGTGGAAGATGATGTGGAGGATGATGAGGTCCTAGACTCCACATGGAATCAAGGTCATGCGAGTGACATGTGCAGTTTGGAGGAAGAGGCACTGCTTGCACAGAGGCACCAGAACAACATAAGAGGGAGCAGGGTGCAAAAGCGGAGCGGCTGTCCCCTAGCGCTCGTCGGCATGTATTAGCTCGAGAATTACCAGTTATCCAAGTAATACGTGTAGCGATCAAAGGATCCATAATAGAGTTGAGCGAACCCGAACTGCAAAGTTCGTGTTCGTACCAGATTTAACGATCCATTCATAGTTTCACAGTTAGGTGGGCAGTCTGGTGACCAGGACCCAGACACTGTCTGGGCGGTGGTCGGACGACCAGGACCCAGTATGCCTGATGGTGAAGTTAGGAATCACAGTGTGGAATGGATTAGCAGGGTCTGGTGCGGGGTAACCACACGCCCCCTGGTTTTGAGCACCAGCTTTTGTGCGGCCACGTACCAGGACTTCAGCTTCAGTAAAAAGAGTACTGCATACCAGAAGCCATCACCAGACTGATCCGCAACTTGAACAGGATGTGACATTCACTGTAGCGGCTGTGCACGCTTTTGGCGTTCTCAACCTGCTGCTGCTTGCCTGTCTGCACTGCAGCGTAACTTTGGCCTTCCCGCTCACCGCCTCATGAGACTGTGCGAGCAGCAGCAGGCGATAGTGGAGTTTCAGCTGCAGCACGCACGGGTCAGTGGCTCTGCACCAGACTTCCCTCCAATTGATCAGAGTTAAAGGATTTCAAGTGGACTCATTACAATTACAGGGCCTCTAAAGAGTCCTGTATTGTTATTTGTCGTCACTACCTTCCCGCGTCGGGAGTGGGTCATTTGCGCGCCTGCTGCCTTCCTTGCATGTGGTAGCCATTTCTCAGGGTCCCTGTATGGAATGGAACCCTGATTCCCCGTTACCCGTGGTCACCATGGTAGGCGCAGAAACTGGCATCGAAAGTTGATATGGATGACATCCGCATGCAAAGTCGCCGCCACGGGGATGTGCGATTGGCCCGAGGTTCTCTAGAGTCAACAAAGTGCCTGCGCAACTATAATGTCAACAGCTACTCTGCGGAACAGAGTTGTCTTTTTTTATATGTCCCAATATTTTGGGGGCTACCCCAATTAAAAAAATAAATAAAATATATATATATATATATATATATATAAAACAGTGTTGGCTTCCTCATCCTCCTTCCTACACCGCCACGGTCACCGCCTCCTCAACCTATGGGTCACTTAGTATAAACTATGTACACATTAGCAGAGGCTTGTGAAGGCCTTTTCTCCATGCATCAGGAGTTGAGCATTTCTCCATGCATCAGGACTGCAAGAAATGCACCGCAGGCCGCAAATGTTTCTTTTTTTGTATGTCCCAATATTTTGTGGGCTACCACAATTAAAAAAAAACAAAAAACATAAAAAACAGTGTTGGCTACCTCATCCTCCTCCTCCACCACTGCTTCCACCTACACCGCCACGGTCACCGCCTCCTCAACCTATGGGTCACTTAGTATAAACTATGTACACAATAGCAGAGGCTTGTGAAGGCCTTTTCTCCATGCATCAGGAGTTGAGCTCAGTTTGAACAATGAAAGAGAATACCCTGCACTCCAACCCTCTCTCAAATGGATAATTCTGTTGATCCTCCTGACAGCCATGCTTTAGATTTTGATTTATGTTCTTCCAAAGCTAAAATCAAAGATTCCATCTAGTGCTATTTTATGGCTCAGCTATATTTTTATTTTTTATGTATTTTATGTTATTTTAATTGATTTCCTTATCCACATTTGTTTGCAGGGCACTTGTCCTACTCTTACCCTCATTTTACTTCATTTTGCAGCTTTCTAGCCCTTTCCAGGAGTTTTTTACAGGCATTTTTGTGGCCAAAAGTTCGGGTCCCCAATGACTTCAATGGGGTTCTGGTTCGGGGTCAAGTTTAATCACGAACCCAGACTTTTTTTCAAAGTTCGTCTGAACCCGCCGGACCCGAACATCCAGGTGTCCGCTCAACTCTACATGGCAGTTATGTAACAAGCAGATGTATCGTCTTAGCTGGCATGCATTTTTGCTGCTATTGTGCCATGGCACACACATTTAAATGTATCATTTACACGGACTAAGTGGGATATGTTTAATGCAATATTACCTATCGAACTTTAAGAAAATATCCCATAATATATTAGTATTAAGCTATCACTAATTTCCAATTATGTCCAGGGATTTAATTAAATGACCACTAAATTCACCAAGACCTCTTCATCTTAGTGGTCAGAAATGCAGATGTACATTTGACCCTTCAAGGTAATACATTACAGAAAGGGAAATGTTTACTTTGAAGGGTTAAACACACTTAGAGTTGCTTCCACTGCACTGATCTAGTAAAACTCAATCATTTGAAGAAGAAGCTCACTGAAAGGCATTGAATTCAATCCTTTCCTATGACAAGCATTGGATATGTGTGCAACACTTGCCATGCATGTTGATCAGGATCCCAATGCCATCGCTTGAGGAGGCCATGACAACCTAATGAAGTCACAGAAGATGAACAGGTGAGCAGCTCCATCGTTGCTTGAAAAGGGTGAGAAAAACCTTTATTTTATGAATTTTTATGGAAAACAGCAGGTAGGGGGACATACCGGTAGATAATTAGGGACAGGGCCACTATAGCATTAGGGATACATGTTTCTATTTATAACGCTATATTCCTTTAATAATTGCCTACCTTTGTGGTAATCATTTTATTATTATTATTATTGACCTCTAAATGATAACGCTAAGTAGACCGCGCCAGAAATTGAACTGATGACTCTACAATTGGAGCTCTAACTACTGAGTTATCTCACAAGGCATCCATAAAATGTGCTAATTATTAACATGTTTATACACTATTGTCATCATGTTTTAAAGATGGTAATAAGTAATTTTCTTCTGTAATTTGACACAGTATTATGCTGTTATAATTACCCATGTATTATACATGTCCAACTCTCTCTTCTGTAGAATTTGGCTCCAAGCTTTATAGATCTAAAAATCCTACTAGCATTATTTCAAGTAATTATTTGGTGGCAAGATGTCTGTGAATTTCTTTTTGGTTCTTTTTTTAATATTTTTAAATGCGTCTAATGATTGTGTCTAAGCTGTAGAGCATATGTATGTCATTTAATAAGGTGTGATAGCATGATGAAGCTTGGACAAGACGTGACCCGCAAGTCCATTTTTATAGAACTGGTTTATCAAGGCTAATATTATTCAAGAACATGAATTCTGCAACTAAAAGTGTTTAGTAGAAATACAAGACTGAAATAGGCTGCATAAATCAGGTTTTCTTCTTTGCTCTGTCTTTGCATTTTTATTTTTCTCATCTATGTTTATTTGTTTCTCTTGGTTACTATTTTGGTTGAGAGAGCCAGGGCCAGCCTTAGGCCTTTGGGTGCCCTGTGCGAAAAATCTTCACAGCGCCCCACTTCCCACACACCCTGTCACACACACACACACAGGCAGTCAGCCATACACACACACACACACACACACAAACAAACATACGCAGGCAGTCACACACAGACAGCCACACAAACACATAGACATAGAATGTGACGGCAGATAAGAACCATTCGGCCTATCTAGTCTGCCCAGACAGTCACACATAGGCAGTCACACACACACAGGCAGACAGCCACACACACACACACACACACACAGTCACACACAGTCACACACACACAGGCAGACAGCCACACACACACACAGACAGTCACAAACACACACACACACACACACACAGGCAGACAGTCAAACACAGAGACAGTCAAACACACACAGACAGTCAAACACACACAGGCAGACAGTCACACACACACAGACAGGCAGACAGCCACACACACAGGCAGACAGCCACACACACACACACACACACACACACAGGCACACAAACACACAGACATACACACACACACACACAGTCAGACAATCACACATAGTTACCTCCAGCTCCTGGATTCTGGTTGTTGTGGGAAGCAGGGACTCCTTTCTGCTTCCCCTGCAGCAGTTACACAGCATTTTAGCTCCGCCCCCGCTGTACAGTAAGCCCCGCCCCGCCGCAAATGTTTTGTTTTTTTTTCAATTCCAGACGGCCATGTGTGAGCTGTGTCGGCCGCAGTGTGCCCCCTGCTTCATGGCGCCCTGGGCTGCCGCACAGCTCGCACACCCCTAAGGCTGACACTGGAGAGAACTTGTCTTCTGTGAAGTATCATCTGATTTTGCTTTCTATGCTGTATACACTGATCAGCCTCAACATTAAAACACCTGCCTCGTGCGGCCAAAACAACTCTAATGCATAAAGGCAAGGTCTCCACAAGACCTCTGAATGTGTCCTGTGGTATGTGGCACAAACATTAAGATGATAGGAGCAGTTACTGCAAATAGCAAAGTAGGGCTTCCATGGATTGGATTTGTTCCAGCACATCCCACAGAAGCTCAATCGTATTGAATTGAGGTCTGGGGAATCTCTGGGTAGGTGGAACGTGCCAAGGTAACATCCACATGAATGAATGCCACTGCCGCTGTCAGCCTGCCTTCTTCCCATAGTGCATCCTGTTGCCATCTCTTCTCTATGTAAACGGTGTACATGCACCTGGCCATTCACCTGATCTAAAAGTAAATTTTTCATTGCTCTATGGTCTAAGCCTGACTGGTCTGTGACTACGCAGTCTTATACATAGCAAAATGTGATCCACTGTTCTCTCTGACACCCTTACACCATGGCAAGTATTAACATAGTAAGGGAGTTTAAGCATGCATGGGATAGGCATAAGGCTATCCTACACTTAAGATAAGGCCAGGGACTAATTAAAAGTATTTCATAATTTTGGGCAGACTAGATGGGCTGAATGGTTCTAAGCTGCCGTCACATTCTATGTTTCTATGTTAAGTTTTTCAGCAAATTGAGCTACAGTAGTTCTTCTGTGTGATCTGACCAGATGGGCTAGCCTTCGCTCTCTGGATGCATCAATAAACCATGGGTGCCCATGACTCTGATGTAGGTTCATCAGTTGTCCTTCCTTGCACCACTTTTGGTAGTTACTAACCACTGCATACTGGGAACACTCCATTAGACTTGCTGTTTTGGAGATGCTCTGACTCAGTCATTTAGCTATGAATATTTGGCCTTTGTCAAAGTTACTCAGATCTCTTCTCTTTCCCATTTTTCCTGATTCCAACACATACAAATCAAGAACTGACTGTTCTCTTGCTGCCTAATATACCCTACCCCATGACAGGTGCCATTGTAATGTTATAATCAATGTTATTCACTTCACCTATCAGTGGATTTAATGTTGTGGCCGAACAGTGTATACTCCTGACCATTGTACAGATGCCTTGTTTGTAATCCCTCACATTCCTTTATGTTAATGGGATTTATAATATGCATCTTCTTGATGGTATATAGCAGAAGCCTTGTCTCAACAGACAGAAGTATCCCACCATCTTAAAACGTCGGAATAGACTCTGTGCAGATGATTTGACTGATAAAGGAGAACTGAAAAGACCTCCCACTAGTGATTCTTCTGCTCTCCTAAGCATAGACACTACAGCACATGCGCTGTGTTTGCTATGGAAACTCCCTAGCTGATGCTGCTGACTGTATCCTTTAAAAGTTTCTTGAGCTCCCCATTCTGCCTAAAAGTACATTAGTTTCAACTAAATTACATTATTGATATAAAAGTGCAGAATTGCCCGCTTTAACAGGTTTAAGATTAGAGTAAGGTAGTTGGGACCGGCACCATGGTGTGTCATGCTTGTCATAGAGAATTATTGCATTCAATGATTCTCTAAGACAGAAAATGGGAATAAAACATAAGAAATTGCCCAAACTGTAACAAATTATTCTCCTAGACAGATTCATGCACCTGTGGTCCTCAATGCATTTACCTGGACCATCATACTGGAGGCAAAGTATAGGAATGAAGTGAGTGATATTACGCTGTTCATAAGGTCATCAAATCCAGCGCATCGGTGTCACACAGGAGGTTTGCCCAGCTTGGAAAAGCAACTCCAAGCAAGTCAAATCACAGAAGAACATAGGAGAAGTGGAGTATGACCTGGAATT